CATAATTGTATTAAAACTATCTTCATTAGTCAGTTATTCTGTCGAAAAACATATTTAATAAGCCAAGATTAATAATAGTAGATATTTAATGATTTTAACTTTTGCTAAAGAACTGGTGACCAGTTCCAGATATTGTAAAAAATAACTGGTCACCAGTTCGTTATGAAAGAGTAGAGTCCGTCATCAATTGAGAAAAAATCCCTAAATTAGAAAATCCCTAAATCAAAATCCCTAATCTGGATTAATTTTCGTTTTGTTATCCACAAATGTGGATTCGATTCAGGGATGCATTCTGGGTACCAGATTTAGGGTAAAGGATAGACATTCGTTTTTTTAAACGAAAAAGTATCCCATTTTTGGATTATTGAAAATTTTATTAAGCAAATATACTGTACACAAAGACACATTTATATCGTCTTATTATTATTTTTTTTTTCGAAGCAACACTTCTTCAACATTTCAATTTTTTTTTAATTCTAGGTTAAAATAGAATTTTTTTTCTTTCGTAGAATTTAAGCGGGAGTACATGTAACTTTTGAATATATATTTTGATACAGATAAACTACCAGGTAAAAAAAAACACGAAAATACATGATGTTAGACTTTTACAATGCATGCAAAGTTGAAAATGACAACATTTAAAGTAGCGATTAGAAAAACAACAAGAGAATGCTTTTATACTTGTTTTTTATTTTTTGAACGAACTTTAAAAGAAGATTGTTTTTTTTTGTTACATTCTTTGAAATTATTCAATTTTAACATCGTACGTCACAAAAATTCGCTTCGAGTTATATTCTATTCAATAAAGAGAATGAAGATTAGAACAAAGCATGACAATCAAGTATTCATTTTTTTCGTTTGCTGCAACAGATGTAACTAACAACAGACTACAAGAATAGTTGATCTGCAGCTTCGATAATTATATTTTTTAAGGTAGTTCACATTCAATGTAGATTTATATGAAAGTATAAATAACTGTATCATATGATTGTAATATAATTATCATTACAATATAATCAACAAGTTTTTAAATGCAAGGTTGAATGAATATGATTTGTTGAAAAGAAAGAAAATTTTGAATGATAAAATGAGTTTCTAAAAATGATTCACATTCCATTAATAAGAATTTTTCACAGTTCAAAAGAAGTTATTTCAAAATAAAGACAATACAAAAAAAAGAGAACAATGTTTTAATATATTTGTCTTTTTTTATGGTCTCTCTTGTTTTTTCTTGCCTATTTATTAGATGAATTTCCTTTTAAATTAAATTTTGATGAGATCTATGTTTTTTTTATTTTCAAAAAAAAAAGCACTCGAAGTTCACTTACAGTTAAAATAAAATATCTATATATAAATCTCGGTAGATCATAAAGAAATCTTGTGTATATATTTTCAACAATAATAAATAATTTCAAATGTGTTAATTTTGAATAATAAATAATATCTTTCGGAAGTCTTAAGTATTCTTGTTTTCTTTAATATTATCAAATGGAATAATATCATTTACGTATTAAAACCTAATATATTTTATTATTAAGTATACAAATATGAATCAAATACCTAATGTTTCTTTTTCTCTTGATATTATGTATCATTTTCATATGTCACAATGCACCGTGTACTTCTTAAAAAGAAATTCGATTTTTTTTTGGCATGATAAAATTTAGTATTTTAATCTAAAAAGTTATTTAAATATTGATTTATATGTTTCCGAAGTAAACTACAACAAAAGTATTTGTGGACATAGCAAATATAATGATGCGATCTTTTTTTTTGTGTGCTTAATATGATGAGAAAAGAAGTAAAAGAAAAAAGAAAAAAAGAGTTATATTTTATTTGCTCTGCCGATGCCAATTCAAATCAGTAATCTCTCGCTCTCTCTTTGTCATTTCTGTTTGATTCTATTGACGTGAGATTCAGAGAAGTATTGCTTCAGTTCATCTTGTAAATAGGCTACTAAAGAACGTTGATCCATTTTATTCTAAATATAGTAAGTTTTTTAGTTTTTGATTATTCAAACAATATTTCTTTTTCAAGTGACATTTGTCAGATGAAGAAAAAAAAACTAAAGAAAGATACGATTCTAAATTTTACATGTACATATGAATAAAAAGAATCGGAAATTAATCGTAGGCGAAATCAGAGATTTTTCTTTTTTCTTGCATTATTAAATAAAATAGAAAATGTATTTTTAACATAAAAAATTGTTAGCATAGCTAAAAAAAAGTAAGTGTAGTTACTTATTCGTCTTTTCCTTTCGTGTTTTAATCTTTTGATTAAAATAGGCAATGCTAAATGCATGTCAAATTGCACTAAGATTCTTTTTATTCCTTTAAAAAAAAGAATTAAAATAACAAACAATTAAGTAATGATAAAAAGTCAAATAAAAAGAAAGTGAAAACGAAAAGGTGTGACAGAAAAGAATCCACTAAATAACAAGGTTATTTCATGTGGTCATCTGTTTACACTCTTATTCAGATCTTCATCCAGATCAAATGTATCAATGATAAAACATTTTCGAATCCACATTTTAATTCTAGTTTTTATACACGTTTCATCTGTTCATATAAAATTACAATCGATCGTATGTGTATTAATCTTTCAAGGTTACAAGTTTATTATGTCTAATATATACTTTTTTTTATTGATGTTAAAAGAAGAAATTTCCATACTACTTAAATGTACCTCTTGACAAAGTATCACATTGAATCTATGTAAATCATTGTGTCTATTATTAATATGATGACTCTTTAAAATTGACTACTATGTACCAAGTTTCTCATTATTAACATTAATTACAATAGAGCTTAAGTAGATGAAGAAAACAAAAAAGTATTGAATTCTACTGTGAGTAGAGAACAATTTGTAGCACTTCTTTAATGGAAGAAGACAATAATGAGTCTAGACAATTTAAGATAAAAAATTAGTCTCTATTAGAAACTGTTGTATAAGAAGAACTAATGCTAATAATAAATTATTATTGACTGTATATTGTAGTTTGTAGGTGTGAGTAGTTATGATAACTTTCTATTCTACTGCTGTTCTATCAATTACGTTTGATAAGAGCACAGTACTTGACGTAAGCATAAAAGATAAATGTAATTTTTTTCCTTGTTGGTTTCTTTTTCTTCACGTCATTCTTTCGTAAGATTTAGTCATTGATATGATTAGTAAATGTTGAATTCGTATTTTCATACACATAATTGTCTTGCATAATCTATTAATTGTTATTTCATTTTATAATCTATTTTCATCATACTCAGACATACAACAATTCTATTTTCTAACAACAAAAATTAAAAATCAATAGATGTAAAAAAGTACTTTTTTTGCCAACGCAACCAGTAATAAAGAAACAATTGAAAAAGACAAAGACAAAGAATTCATTCTATGCTTCTTAGTGCATAATTCAAAAACAATAGCTATTTTAAATTTTCTTTTTTTATTTAAATAGAAATTGGATTATCTGCATACTTCTATATTATATTTTATCATTAATTCTTAAATATTGTAAGTATTTGTTTTGAGTATAATAAAGAAGCTTAGACGTGTATATATAGATCGCCATTTTTTTTTTTATCTATGACAAAATGACACGACGCGAGAAAAGAACCACAGGAAGAAAGTTGTTGAGATAGGAATAAAACAATATTTCATCAGCTAACGCATAGTGCATGGGTCAGAGAACGATAGTATATAATACATAGTTCGTCTTCAAGCTACAAGCAGTATTAGAAGACATATTCGCACATCAGCAGTTGTTTTAGAGTTCATTAGGCGCATGTTGTATAGTACTTGACTATGTCAGTAATTTGACATTGGTGACGTACATTACTACCTCACCACGAAGAGTATTGTTAATGTAAGTTTTCAAGAGGTTAAAAGCTGTTAGTTTACTGAAAAATTATATGTACGATTCATCGGTTAAAATAACTTCAGTTACTTCATGTCGCCGTTTTTTTAAACTATAAATATGAGAATGAAATAATTCATTAGAATAGAAAAATTTTTTCTTCGAAGTTTTTTTTTGATAAATGTTTCTCATACAAATTACAAAATACGATTGATCTCTTTTTCAGATATCTTATGAACATGTCATCGGAAACAATCGCTTACCCAATAAACCATCATCATCATATATTAAATCGTACTCATTCAAGCATGTATCGAAGTACTTCTCCAATCGATCTTAATAATAAATTAACAGCTATTCAAACAAGAAAATCTCGTGTTGCTCTTCAATCTTATTATGATTTTACCGATTCTCGACCGTTAAATATGAGTAATATTAGTGGTACAACAAATTCTTCGAATCTTTCTCCACAAAAGTTACTTGAACGTAGCCAAGATTTACGTCTTGGTCGTATACCTGCTCGTCCATCTGTTTTATCTTCAATATCAACTGCAAATCAACATTCATTAATATGGCCAACTTATAGTTCACCAAATGGAATTACTCAACAACTTCCAACAAATTCACCAACAATGTCATCAACTAATTTCGGATTACAAATGAATAAATCATTGAATTATCATATGCCTGATATTTATCAACGTTCAAATCGTACACAAACAATGACATATCCACTATTGACTGAACAACAAAATTCTTCGATGTTTGTTGAACCACGACATAAGTCTTTACCAAAAATAAAATCATCTGTACCGAAACCATATTACCGAAGAGTTGCGAAAGGTAAAGCTTCATTTCCAATATCACGTACTCAACCATTACGAGCATCATATAAAGATCATTTGAAACAGTCAAAGAACAATACTAATGAACATATTGTTCTTTTATATGAAAGTGAAGAAGATGATGAAAATGTTCCTATTATAGATGAAGAATTTGAAGAATATATTCAAAAGTCAACTATTAAATGTGCCGATTGGCTTATTAAATATGTTTTTGATAAAGAGTTTGATTACAATGACGAATAGTTCTCATCTTTGTTTTTGTTTGTTTTTTGTAATATTCATGTAGTTTTTGTAGATATGCATTAAAATCTAGTGCGATGCGCAATATGTCACAATAAAACAGAAAATATTTATTCAACAGACAAAAAAGAACTTATTCTTTCTATGTCAATATTATGGGATAAAACCCCATATCATTTATCGTCTTTCATCGAGACACAAAACATTCTGTCCGAGAAAAACTAATAGATCTTTATTATTTACCTATAAAGATACCGTTATCTTTCGTATGTCTACAAATTTCGAGTACTATTCTGACGATGATCTGTTATTGTTGTTGATCTTAATAATTGTTCAATTGAAGTTGATGACCTAGATTATATTCTTACCGATGAATAGTTTTTTAAAAAAAAACCATATGTGCTGTTTGTTTTATTCTAAATAATGTAAATAGAATAATTTATTTCTTTTTCTTTCGTCAGGTTGATTAGTAATAGAGGTGATAATTGAAGAATTGACGTCATAGAAGTAGGTATGTTTACGTGTTTGAAATGGTTAAAAACAAAAATCTATATTGATTCAATCAAATAACATGCTCACAGAGTTTACTTGAAAAACAAAAGCGGGATAATAAAAAAAAAAACTACAATATTTTTGCAACCAATTATCTGTTATGTAAATAATTTCCTGATCTTTTTTCTTAAGGCATCCCCCCCCCCTCCAAAATCAATTTTCATTACAGTGCATCGGACTTGCCTGAAACTTTCCACAAATGTTGGGCACATCAGAGTAAAGTTACCAATTTTTTTTTACTTCTCTAAACCTCAGCATTCAGGAGTTTTCCAGAGATCAAGGCCAAAAATGGGCCCTCTGGCAGTACAAACTCTTTTTCACTATACTTCAACGGACTGAATCTGGGATTGTTTTATTTGAAGAAGAACTGTTTACCACTTGGACTGAGGGAAAGAGATTTTATAAATTTTCCTTTGTTCAATTTAGGGACGTCCAAAACCCAAAAATTCTGAAAATCTTACCCCAACGCTTTTGAAAAATCCTGGATTTCTCTCAGATTGCCGATTAAATAAAAAATCCCTTTCCCTCATCCGAAGCAGTACACATGTATGTATCGACTAAAAAAAACCGCAGCTCTCTAGGATGAAGTATATTGAAAAAAAAATTGTTCTGCTGTCGATATTTAGCATAAAAATCCGTTGTGAGAAAATTGACAAACAAAGTGGAAATTATTTTTAAGCCATTTTTGAGAAACAAAGATTTTCTAGAAATCTGGCATTGCCATTACATCAAATATGGAGACAAACATGTATAATCAAAATTTTAGAATTTTCGGTCATCAGGCAAAGAAGAGAGAAGATTTTCGATCGCTGAGACAAACATCAAAATAGGTGTCCCCATTCGGCAAAAACTTTTGTAACTCATTCTAGGCATCAAATTTTATTCTAAAAATTTGGATACTATGGTAACTTGGCACGCTGAATACGATAGTGATTTTGGTTTTCTATAAAAATTCTAAAAATCGGGAACGGTCTCCTGAAAGCCTAAAAAAGTACTGGCTAGCTACAANGGCAAAAACTTTTGTAACTCATTCTAGGCATCAAATTTTATTCTAAAAATTTGGATACTATGGTAACTTGGCACGCTGAATACGATAGTGATTTTGGTTTTCTATAAAAATGCTAGAAATCGGGAACGGTCTCCTGAAAGCCTAAAAAAGTACTGGCTAGCTACAAAAAAATGATTGAGAACGGCCAAAAACCACTCATATCCTAAAACCAAAGACATGCACTGAAAGAGGAGAGTTCAGTGCATCATCCTCCAACAAAAACTCAATTTTGAAATTTTTTCAAAGAATCTAATTTTTGGAGGGGGGGGGGGTGCCTTAAGACGTAAAATATAGGTTGGAAATAAGATACATTAACTGTATTTCATCTGAATGGTATAAAAAAAAGTTCACTTTTCCTCTCTCGCTATTCGTAACTTTTCAGTGAAAATCTTATAAAGATTGCTTAACCTATCTTAGATTCAAAACATTTTAGTACCCATGTGTTATACTTATTGCATTCTACAAATAAAGGATTTCATAAGACAATCTTGAAAACATATTTTGTTGTTTTCCATACATAAATGTCTCATATTTCTTGTTATTTATTTACAAATCGAAACAAAAATAAATTATTCTTTTTTGTTTCTAATAACCATATTTATCATTTAGTGCTGTTCTTCCATCACCTGTTTGTTCACTTTCAGGTGGCATCCATTTAGCAAATTTATCTTCGGAATAATGATCACTATCATCATATTGATCTTTAGAATTAACAGTCGGATATTCGGGTTTTCGACGTTTTGTTGTTTGTTTTGCAGGAGTAGGATCAACGTCAGTAATTTTTTCTGATACAGGTTGAACATGTTTCGTTTCCGATGATACAGATGGTGGTGGTGGTGGAGGTGGCATTTGTTCTGTTTGAATTGAAGGTTTTGTTTCGATTATTGGTTTTGGAAGATGAGGTAATTGTGATGATGGAACAGGCATTGGTTTAGTAGTTAAATTTTGTTTAATTTCTTCACGTATTTTTTGTTTCCATGTTTGAATATTAAATTCTTTAGGTTTACATACTTTAAGTAATTTTGCATATTGTCTTTCTTCATTTTCAATTTCTAATAAACGCTTTTTCCATTGCCATTTCGTTTTCATATTTAATTTTTCACCTTGTTTTAATTGACGTATATATAAATCAATTTCATCAATATCTTTTTCAATATTAGTTGAATTTTTTGCTGCATTATCTTCCATTTGTTTAGCTGTTTCTAATTTATATTCAAGATCAATTTGTTCTTTATAAAGATTTGTTAATTTTAAACAAAGTGAATCAAATGTTTCAATTTGTTTTTCATTATTTAAATGACCAGACCATTCCATACGTTTAAGACGTTTTTTTTCTAAATCACCTGTACGATCATAAAATGTATCTTCATCTTCTTCATAAAAATCATTTTCTTCAAGTAATTGTCGTTTTATTTGTTGTACACGTGGTGTATTTAATGATGATGCTGATGTACCTTCACGTAAAACACCATGTTCATCAAGTATACGACAAGCTTCAAGAATACATTCATGAATAATTTCTTTACGTTTACAATGTTTTTGTTCACATTCAGCTTGTATAACACGACCATATTCATCAACAATAGGTAATTTAATTGTACAACGATATGCACCAAATTGATGATCTTCAACATCATAAGTAAGTTCAGCACCTTCACGTTCAAAAAATGCTGTTAATGCACGTTTTGGATCTTTAAGATAAAATGGTTCTTTTTTTGTATTAGTATCATCATCATTAGGTGAAGGTTCATCAACCTGTATGAAAACAAAAAAAAAAATTATACATAAAAGAAGTTTTTTTCAATAATTGTTTTTAACTTACATGTGACATAATTTCTTTGAGTATAGCTTTATCATTTCTAGCTTGTTGATATTCAAGACGATTTTTAAGATCTTCAACAGCTGCTCGTTTTTTATTTTCTTCATCGTTTCGAATAATATCTGCTTCTTGAGTTGATTCTTGAGAAACGCTTGTCATAGCAGCAGCAGCAGCTGATTCATCGGTTTCTAATCCCATACCCCAATCCATTTCAACATTATCACTATTGGCTTCATTAGCTGCACTTTCTCGTTTAGCACGTACAGAAGCAAGCATTTTAGCTCGTTTAGCATGAAATTGTTTCATTTGTTCATGTGTTAAATCATCACCAGTAGAATTATCAATACTTGCGGCTTCAGCTGATGTATCACCTTGAACAACATACAGTCTTGCCGATTGTCCAAATTTAATAATATAACCAATTTTAATTCGTACATAAACTTTTGGTTCAAGATGTTTTTTATTAATAAATGTACCATGAGTACTAGCACAATCATATAAATAGAGACCAGCTGGTTGACCATGTTCAAATTCTGATTTATATTGTATAATAGCATGATAACGTGAAATAGTTGGATGTTCAAGTACAACATCACTATCAGGTGAACGACCAAAAACTGTATATGGACGATGAGAAAGTGATATATAATCAATAATAGAACCATTACGTAATACTTCAAGTGCATATTCTATTGGTGGAATAGCCGATGATTCAGGTATAGTATATTGCAAATTTTTATGACGAGTTGGTGTTGAAAAATTTGCAGGTGGTAATTCTGGTTTGATAAATGGTGCATGTGAAATTTCTTGATTGTCGACAGTTGATGAAGTTGTACTATCATCTGATTTTGATTCTTCCAATGGAACTGATGGAATTTTAAAAGTGTCTGCCATTTGAAATCAAATAATAATTAATTATTATTAAATATATATATCCAATAATATGGTCAAAGAAGAAATTTTCTTTGCTTGCTTTGTCGATGTTTCAAAATTAAGTTCTTTGTTTATTGGTCAAAAATTTAGCCGATCATAAAATGTTATACAAAATAATAATGTTTATTACTCAATTCATAGTGCAAATTGATTGATCGTTAGCAAACAGATTTGACATGAATTTTCAAAGAGATGTAATGAAAGAAAAGGAATGCAGTGTATTTCATTGAATAGTAATAAGATAGGTGGCGCTAGTTGACACAAATACCAAACTATATCTGATTTTTATTTTATTTGAAATTCGAGATGTGTCCAGCTTCCATGAGTTCTGCACCCATGAAATTCCAACAATTGAAGTAACTTTAAAAACTCAAGAATTTGTTAAAATTTTGGTGAGAGATCTACCCGAGCTAGCATTTCAAACGAAATAGACATCATCACGCTTTACTTATCCACAAATTTCAAACAACTGCAACATGCCACAAAGAGATGATAAATATACGGTACAATATTTTCTGTAGATATTCAAATATGAATGTGTTTGTGGATGTCAAGAGAACCGAAATCCAAACTCATCTTTTCCAAGAGTTCCATGAATTCAGAACTCACAGGAATTCGGCTATCGCTGAAGTTCTCTCTCTCATTTCGAATAGCTAGAAGAAAAGTATTGAATCGAAAATATTTTTCTTCAATTGATTGATAAAGCAATGGTTTTATTAATTGATTGAAGAAAATAGCCGTGAGAAATGATTGAACAAGAATTTCATCATGATTTTGTCAATCGTTCAATTGATTCATTTACGTGATATTTGCCATGACCTTAAATGTATCATTGTCAGATGATCATCGCTCACTTCTAGTGAGTCACATGAATCATCTAGAAATTTTCTCATGAAGACAATGTCACAACGATCACATCCGAAGCAAATTATTGCAACCTGGTATATCTGAATGTGGTCGTTGTATTTACTGTTGTCAGTCTGACTTTATTTTAAAAAAAGTCACGATCTAGAAGTTCAACAAGAGAAGAAAAAAAATGTATATGGATATTTGTATGTATTGGCACATGACCTTATATCCCACAGTATAGAAGACGATATGACAACAGAATTATCGAAACTAATTTCGATAACTAGAGAGGCGGAGAGAAGCCTTTAGTAGCCATTGAACAGTTTGTTCGACAGTTGCTGGATCTGAAACTTGAAACAGAAGAAAACAAGAACAGTTAATTTTTTCTGTTGATTTTTGCAAATATAAAATATTCTTTCAGAAACTCTTGCTCCGTTGAATGTGTTTATTACCATCTTTTGTATCTGACCAAGTTTCTACTGTTACTTTATTTTTATTACCAGCAGACAAAGTCTTTTAATCTCTTTCTTCAGGTTCAAGGGTAATGCTGCTGTTCAATGACTGTTACTATCATCTACTAATCTTATCTATCACTAATGTATTAATATTTGAAAAAAAAACTGATCTTATTTTGAAATTCCAGAATTGGATCAAATCTCTCAAGTGGTTTCAACATTGAGAATAAATTCAGTTGTATGGTCATTTCAGAACTGAATGAATTCTGTCTCAGAAGAGAGAAATGCAAATACAAATCAATAAAAAACTTCGTTGAGGACAAGCAGAAATTTTCGCTAACATAACTCCTCACTTGATCTGTTTAGCTTTGGTTTTTAAAGAAAGTCAATTGAATAAACTTTAAATAATTTATAGACTTGTTCATGATAAAGATAGAGGCTCTTTCAAAATTAATCTATCAATTCTTGCTATCCTTTTATTGAAACAATTGAGTTTTATAAAAATAAATTTACTCACTGTCGGATTATTCACTGAAATAGAATTGCTCATTTAACAGATTTCAAGTTCGATTATTTATGTAGATGACGATTAATCGAAGTGTTATATATATATATATATATGCGTATAAATCCAGGTCAATTTTTCTGGTACCTAGATCCATGAACTTTCGGCTAGAATCCGCCACAAAGATACCGTCTCCGGACCGATTATTGATCTGGGTAATTATTAGATTAGTTCAAATATTTCATTTGAAAAATAAAAATTCTATCGATTTTTTATATGTTCAATCGATTGACAAACAAATTCAACTTGAATATTTTACAAAAGATAAATCAAGTAAAAAGAACTTCAATACTTTTATTTGAAAAACAATGAAGAAAGAAACAATTATCCCAATGAAAGTCTTTATTATATATACTAATATATTTGAATAATATATAAAATTTTATTCATGAATAAAGAATTTCTTTATGTGCCTTTGAAAATTTTGATTTTATTTACATTTCTTCTCGCCGAGTCAAATGCTACGGATCATTGTCGATTACCCTAAACGACCGTTTATATGCCGTATTCTATGGTAGACGATCATTTTTATGTTGTATTGTATCATAATAACACACCTATTCTTACTGGTCGTATACGACACCGTACGTTTATCGTACAGAGCCGTAAAAGTGTCGTAATTTTGCCGCATTCAATCATACATGCATTCGTATTACTCTCGGTATTTGCGGGGAAGTATAACCCTGTCAAGTATCGTATTTTATCATAAACGACCGTATACGGATTGTATTCTTCGATCAGCGTCATTTATTACTATATGTTCTTCAGTTTAGTAATTCTTATATTTTAAAATTAAAAAAAATTTACGATTTTTCTTATTCAGATTACAAAGTCTTTTTTGACGAAATTATTTCTTAAGACAATCTACGACTAATTCATATTCATAGATAATCGTTTGTACTTTTCTTTTCAACTCTTTTGTTTTATATTTGTTTGTTTGCAATAGACTTATTCATTTATGCGGGAATCTCCGATTATTAATATCAGACACTCTTACCAACATTGATTAAATAGGTGGAGAAAGAAAGAGTAATTTAAGAATCTAGCTTGTGCAGGATTAAAGATTACTCATAGAAAGGAAACTGTCTTCCTCAGATCTTGTTATAGGAATGACAGTTGAGTCTATATTTATTTTTGTGAAACATGTCATAATGTTCATAACAAAAAAAAAACAACCAGAATGAGAGAAGCTCCGAAGAGAAACGTAATAATAGTTAATACTACAAAAAAAAACTAGTAAGAGAGAAAGACAAAATGTTGATCTAATCGACTATACAATAATAAGTGAATAATAATAAAATCTAATGTAAAAAAAGAACAATGACAGATACTAGATGACGAACAGTATATGACAGAAAAGAAGAAACAAATGACCAAAAGACTATAACCACACTCGTTAGCGGTAACATAGTGTCATCTGTTGATACTAATAAACTAGTCAATTAGCAATAATATCTTGTAAAATTGTTTTCTCAGAATAAGAAAAAGATTGAAATATGTGTCAACGATATTAGTCGAGAAAAGTATCTTCATTGGTTTTTATCTAAATGTATTCAGAAATATTTCTGTTTTTTTTTTATAATCCATCCTCTTGACATTTTCTTGTTTTTTATTTATTTTTCCTTTTCTTCAAGATGAAATCTCTCCTCCAGTACTAGTACGAAGCTAGAGTCTGGTGACTCATCAGATCTATAACAAAAAATACTCTTGTATATGAGTTAGAAGTAGCAAAAAATTTTTCGAAGCTTCTTCTTATTCTTATCATTCGAATCCATAACAAGGAATAGACATTTTGATGGAATTTGTTTTTCTTACCCGAGCTATTTTTCCGAGATCATTGTTGATGGATGGTAACAGAAACGCAATAATAATTATTTTGAACCAATAGAAGTTTTCTGATGACAACAGTTAATATCTCTCGCATTTCTATAAGGCATTAAGGGTATGTTGCGTGAACAAAATAATTTATTTTTTTTTAAGCACTCTGAATCAACATTGAAAGTGAAACGAGTAAAGATTAGCAAAAGAATTCTCAAAATATCTCTTGTCTATTATTCAGCGTTACCATTCTATGAAAATGTTTTAACTATGACGAGAAATAGCACTATCTATTTATATGGAACACATTTTGGATCACAATCGTATTTACATTCATTATTCTCTACCTATATGTTGTTCGTTCTGACTGTGTACTCAAGTATGTTCCTAGTAATTTCTATCAATTACAATTCTACACATTGTTTATTAACACAAACAATAAAAGACAACTGATAAATAGTATCTTTTGATGAATCTACCTATAGTAATGATTTTTACGAGTCAGAGATTTACTACATTGTTTATATGACTATATATAAGTATATAGTGTTTGACGGTGATCTGTGTTTGAAATAGTATGACTATGTGCGCTGCGTATGATTGAATTTATTAGATGATCGTGTTAAGAATATAAAAACATAATATACCTCATTACAATATGTTATTTTTAATCGCAATTTAATGTTACATTTTTTATAATAATAATTATTATATATGTAATAATTTTTTGTAAGAAAACCATTAGTGATATCATCTAAATGCATAAAGGAGGCAAAAATTAATATGTTGATTGGTGTTTTTTGATTGGCCAACTGCTGTTGAAGGTGTGGCTGTTTTTTCTGCTGTGTAGTTTTTCTTCCTTTCTTTTTCTTCTTCTTCTTATAGATCTTTGTGTGGAGTCCAAAGTTATTGTGCAGTGTCTATCGTTCCTCTGTTTTTTTTTCTTTTCTTCATCCTTTCAAAAGCTGCAGCACTGTCGTCATTGCTACTACTACTCTTTTCACTCTGTTGCCAATAGTGTAGCACATTATTTTCATTGCTATAAGTTGTCGTGTAAACAAGTTTTGAGACGATCTTTATAACTTGGTTTCTCCTTATATTTTTTTAGTAAGAAATTAGAAAAAAAAGGTAAATTATATATAATTATTTTATTTTTCTGTTTAACACAATAAATTTTGTGTGTATGCACTTCTAATATTATTTGATGAAAGAATTGTAAATATGTAAAAGAAAAACAACAACAACAACAACAGCAAGTATTAGACTTGTATGGA